GGGCGGCACTTCCGATCGCGCCGCCGTGACGTCAGGCAGCAGAGGCGCGCGCGCCGCTCGCGACACTAGAAGCCGCGCGCCCGGCCGCGCGGCAGGTCAGTGGCTGCAGCTCGGCTCCTCCCTGCGCGCGGCGGGGCGATGACGCAGCTTCCGTAAGGGCGAGACCTGGCGCCGGAAGCGGAAGGGGGGATGTTGTGGTGTGCGGGGGCGGGGCCAGGCCCGCGCTCCCTGTCACGGCAGGTTGTGTTGCGGGGCCGGGCCGGGTCCCCGGGGGAGGCAGAGCTGGGCCGCGGGCTCGCGTCGGGGAGGGCAGAGCGGGGACTGGCGCAGCCTGATTCGGGAGAGGGCCGGGCCTGCGGCCGCTCACACTACCTCTGCCATCCCTCCCCTCAGGCATGGAAGGCTCCAAACTGACGGCGTGCACCATGCAGGTGAGCTTCGTGTGCCAGCGCTGCAGCCAGCCCCTCAAGCTGGACACCTCCTTCAAGATCCTGGACAGGGTCACAATCCAGGAGCTGACAGGTGAGGGGCCTGGAGCTTCGGGAAAGGCGCATGGCTGGGCAGCGAGGGACAGAGGTGGCAGCCAGGCTAGCGTTCGTGTAGCCAGCGCTCTTGTATGGGGGGCAGGCTGGAATCCCTTTGGGGGCAGGATCCGTTTGTGGTGTATGGGCTTCGTTGCCTGCAATGTGACAGGCAAGGACTTGCAGGCTTCCACAGCCAGAAGGTGATGGAAGAGAAGTCTCTGGGCCTGAAGCCTGGCTGTCTTGTGAGAGTCAGCCAGTGTAGGTCTTGTCAGGAACCCTATGAAATAGCCAGGACCCGCTGCTACTGAGCGCACCCTGCGAGCGCATCAGGTTGTTTCAAAGATTCTGTGGCAGGCGGACCCTTGGGAGTGGATTTAAGGAAGCAACATGGAGTAACTAGGGGAGATGCCTGGGATGCTGAAAGGAGATGGTTGCACAAAATGCCTGTAATAATATCATTAATTGGGCCCGCTTCAGTACAGCTAACGTAGAAAACAGTCTCAGAATCAGCTGATTTGTAACCTGTGAGATTTTTTCATGTTCTTTAGTAACTGTTATTTCTTGTTCAGCTCCATTACTTACTACAGTGCCTGCAAAACCAGGAGACACTCATGAGGAAGACACTACCTTGGCAGAGGTAAGGGATCTGTCTGGGTTGAGCCAGATGTAGTTCATGTCTTTCTCATAAGTTCAGTCCTGAAGCAACAGCTTAACTGTTTTTGAAGGCTGCAGACTAACCTGAGTTGTAAACAAGTTCTTCCTGTCGGGATCATTATCCCTCTTTAGGGAGATGGATGAAGTGGAAACTGACTCAACTGTTTTGTAGTAAGTGCCAGTTGATTGGCTAATAATATGTTACTTCAATTTCTAGGAAGCCTTCACAGAAAACCGTCAGGATGGGGTATCTAGGAGATTCATTCCTCCAGCAAGGTATCACCCAGGGTTTATTCCTCTTGGCCAGTGTGTTTGCAATACATTTGTCAGGGTTTTGTGCTCCTTCAGAAATCCATCTCTAAGAATAGCTGTGATGGAAGGCATTGTAGCTGCTGGTACAATCATGTTTATTCTCAAATGATTATGGATAAAACCTAAAAAGCCTGGATGGGAGGGGATCCCTGTACCTGTTACAAGCTGACTGATAGTAGAAATTGCATATTAAATTTGGTGCTGTGTGAACCTCACTTGAGCTTATGCAGAAAGATCCTTGAATTTCTAATGTACTAATACAGGGGTTTTCAGCTTTTAATAAGTGTACCCCCAGCGGCTGGATGCAGAGCGGGCGGGGAGGGGGTGGGAGTACACTGCTGCCCTTGTCCCTTGCCCTGCTTCTGGGAAGTGGTAGCACAGGGTGATGGATGGGTGGCGGTGGTCCATCCCTGCCCACCCACATGTATCCCCTAAGGTTTTCCCAAGTACCCCTGGGGATATGCATACCCCTGGTTGACAACCCCATGTACTAGATCAAATGGGGACCTCACAGGCTTTTAGAGCTACTTAATTTAGGGCCTTACTATGTTCATTCTCCTTTTCTTACGCAGTAGCACTAAATCCAGCTGTCCCATTCACTGTTCTTGGGATGGTAATTATCACCTAAGGCAGGGGTGGCCAACCCATGGCTTGTGTACCCAAGTGGCATGAGCAGACACTGTGTTTTGCATGTGGCAGATCAGTGAACGGGTGGGGGGGAGAATGGTAGATCTTGGGAGACCAGCATTTGAGGAGGGGATGATGATGGATCTTAACTTGTGGCACGCCTCCAAAAAAGGCTTGCCACTAGGCCTGTGCAAAGTGGCTAGTATTTGTTTCAGATTTGGCTGATTCAGGGGACAGGGATCTGTAATTCAAATCACTGTCCCGAATCAATTTGGCCAAATCTCCAAATCAAATGGGCCCAATTCCCCACCTGCTCTCCCAGCCCTGTCAGTGGCTGCTACGCCTGGCCCCAGCATCCCAGCTATTTAAAAAAAAAAAAAAAAAAAAA